ACAGCGCCTAACTTAAAAAAAATCAGAGCAAGTTTCTAAGCATTTGCTAGGCAACATGAGGTCAATGCTTTGAGGGAATGTTCCTCATTTCCTCAAGTTCAGATTCATGTTAAATGTTCTCAAAATGCAAGCAGATGAGGTAAGACTGAAAACAGTAGGACAGCAGATTTAACCCCTTAGTAGAGATCAGAGGAAAGGCATCAACGTGAAGTTACTACAAACCGTACTGGAGCCATGTGCATGTTTTCTGAAAAATATTCTGAATTTGCTGCTCTGCTTTACGTTATGTATCGCAGCATCTAGCGCAGTTTTTTTTTTTTTTTTTGTCCAAATAGATATCTAACAGGGTTTATTTTAACAGTATTATAGATGTGAAGTTTGTCAAAATTTACCTATTTATTCTTTTAATTTATTTTGTTCGGTCAAGAAGTTGTTTCTCCAGACATTTACTGATGCTGCTCTTGACAGTTGGTGGTTACCATAGCAACCAGTAACTGACAGCTCCTCCCCCTTTTTCTATTGCCGTCTAACTACTGTTGGTGTTTTCTTTACAAGTATTTAGACAAATTTAACCATATACAGTAATTTAGCTACATTTCGTATATGTTTTTAACTGTTATCATTATTAATGCTGTATATTTTAGCTGTTTCATTTCACAACCGTTAACTGCTGCTGCTAACTGCTCATTTGGAGCTGCTGCTCTGTAGTTTGTTTAGGGTAATTTATTGTATTTTATCAACTTTATTTCCTCTTTTGTTAGCATAAATAGTGAACCTGAGTTGTGAAGTCAACTTACTGGATCTGAGACGGACACAGAAGAACATTACGTTCATCCTGTTACATGAAGTACCAGCCATAACACATACACACACACACACACACACACACACCACCTGGCAGCTGCTTACATGAGTTTTCCTTCTGACATTAGGGATGATCCGGTGAAATTCCTCAGTAAGGAGAACTTTAAAGGCAGGAAAGAAACTCATCATCCCAATTAGGACTATACTGTGATCAAATAGAAACACTCATCTTCTCCTTTTGGCTTGCTCTGACTCACACACTCATACCCCACACACACATCCACTTGACCCGTGTGACACCTGTCTCTGTTGGCTCTTTTCACTGACTAATTTGAAAAGACCCCCTCCTAATCCTGCACCACCAGCAGCCCACCCACACACACACACACACACATCCCAGGATGTTCCCTCCTCAATTGAGCTTTGTCCTTTCCTCCATCATGCAAAGTTTAAATTAATTCACTTTAATCTGTATCTTTTTTTCAGCATAAGGTTAAACCTTTTGTTTGAGTGGTTGAACTCAGAGGGAGCATTCACACCAGACGTGTTTGGTCCGCTTTAATCCAAGTCCACTTTGTAGAAAGCCCGGTTCACTCGAGGAGATGTGAATCAAACTCTGATGCGGACCAAAAAAATGGGAACTCTGGTCCCCTTACAAACCTCGGTCTCGGTTCAGCTGAAGTGAACTGTGATGGGGTTTGAATGCATATGTGAATGCCAAGCAGACTGGAGACCGCGGATGACAGCGCAGGGCATTCTGGGTAAATACAACCAAAACAAACAGGCAAGTCGAGTGCTAGCGAGAGAAACATCTCCTGGTTGTCTTGACAAAGACAAAAGAGAAATCCCACAACCGCAAAGATTTGACGCAACTCCATTTTTGTCAAAGAAGGAAATTATCTTCTTCAGATATTTTCATGTAGTTTCCTTCAGTAGTTGCTGGTGCAGCGCCACCACAGGCCAGGGGGGAACAGATTTAACAAAAGGTTTAGTTTGAAAGTGAACCGCAACAGGTAAAAATGGAACAAATGTTGCGATTTTGGTCCCATTTTGGTCCCAATCAAACCAAGTCTACCGGACTACCAGATGAAAACCTAACTTTAAGACTCGTACTTAAGTTGGTTTTAAATCACAAAAATAAACAATTTCAGACTCAACTTAGACTTGAGACTTGACTTGGACTCTTGGTCTAAGACTTGAGTCATTTTTTTGCATGCAGAGTGAAAGAAAGCTCCAGCTGCTGCACATGTTTTACAATGAAAGAATGACCTTATGGGTGGATTATTATGGGATGTCTGTGGCTCATAATCTGTCCATATTAGTTGTAGCTTCATTCAGATTGCTGTCCTACTGAACGCTTTATTAACCAACTTTGGATGGTTTCAGAAACAAAAATAAATGTAACCAACTTCTGAGCGAGCTGCAACATTGCATGGACACTTCCATCTGAACATTTAAAAAATAAAAGCACTTCCTGTTCTTTTCATTCAGAATTTGGAAGCACTTTGAATTACTTTGTAAGCTTGGTCTCATTCAGTGTGTTGTAATTTATACCACAAAATTAAACATAAGAACTTGAAGCAATATTTAGTGCCACATATAATGAAGAACTGGACAATAAACTTGTTACAAAGAAAAAAGAAGCATTTTTTTAATATTAGGCCAAAGGACAAGTAGTACAGGTTTGGAATGCAGGAAAAGACCTGACCTAGATGCTGTGGATTCAACGAGTGTTTATTGATATGTTTATTTCTGATGACTGGAGACCCAAGTTGGATTTGGAAAAACTGACTTGTGAAAATATCTGGTTGAAACTCACTTACAAGACTTCAGATGAACCAGAACAGACTGAACGGATCAGAAGGGCTGTGATAAGAAAAACACAAATTATCCAAGACGTGCAGCTTATCTAACCCTAACCCTTTAAGACAGCTTAAAGACCAAAGCAAAACTCTGTTTTTTCTCCAAAAGAAATTCACATGTGTCTCTGAATGTAAACAAAAAAAATCTTCTGACCCTTTTAGCTGCTTTTTACTGCATTGTTTGACCTTGTAAAGGGATTTTACAGCAGACATAGTGGAAGCTGATGGGGACTGCAGCTCCCCCTTGTGGTGACTAAAGGATACAACCGGCTACATCCTCCATGCGTTTTAGGCCATAATATAAACAAAACAACAAATTTTTAAAATAGAAACTATCTGTCCTGGCTTTTGTTACAATTGGAAAATTGATTGTAATGAGTTTTCTCCTGGTTGAAGTTTCCATTTAGATAAAAAAAAAACCTTGCTCTTCCAGCAGCTTGTCTACTGTGAAAAAGTTCTTGATCTCTGTGTTTTTTTCTAACATAACGGTTCTTCCTGTGCTGAGTTTTAGATTACCTGATGACACCTGAAGTAACCACCACCTTGTGCACCAGGCTGCATATTATTTCTTCCCAGAGTTATGCGGTTATCCGGGTTTTAAAAATAAATTGAGCGGTACTGAAATCCATCCTTAGTAGACTCAAGCGGGTAAAATTAGGGAAAGCATGAAACTGATGACATCATCTGCAATTAAGCCACATTTTCCACACTCTTCTCTTTCTTTTCCATCATCATGATATTCACACCACTTTCTTTGGGCTTTAAAGTCCACCCAACCGGTCAAATACATTCCAGGGTTTTGGGAATGTTATAGCCTAACAAAAGATGCATCCAAGCTATGATTTACAATTGCAATAGTTCATACATTTAAACTGATGATTGCAATTCCATATGTTGTGCAGCTCTAGTTATAATCAGTCTGAATTTGACTGTAATTGAAATGAACTGTTGTTAAAAAACTGGTAAAGAAACTGAAAATGGTCAAAGTTTATTTAAGTTAACAGAGGATTGATTCATATACTTCAATATAGCTAAATTATATGGTTTTATATTATTTATTTAAGCTGGAATTATCTCAGTTGCATCATGTATAAGTAAACCTGACTTTACTTCGCTTGTCTCCGACCTTTAAAGCAGCCGCTTTAAAAACAAGATTAAAACATGGACTTTAACTTAAAGGGTATCTATTGTTGCTACATATGTTAGAAAAAGAAGGCAGAGAATGTGTGTTCCTAAGAATATTGACAAAAAGTTTCTTAACAGACTTGCTGTCTGCCCTTTTAACACAACAGCTTCTGAAATGTAGACACAGAATTGCTACCAATAACATAGAAAAAGAGTCAGAGTCAGGTTTTCTTTTTCTTTTAAGAAAATTAAATCACTAGCCATGAAACAGGTGAATTTTCTACATTTTTGACACATCAACTTTGACTAGCAAAGTGGAGAAATTTCAAAATACATATTGATAAAAGAACATTTTATCCTCATTTACATCCTTGTTTGCCTATATTTAACATATTAGATGCTTGAAACAACACCTTGGAGGTGTGCAGGTACAAACGTCACCTCCTGCCGGGATAGGCAGGTATGGGTTTGTTATACTCATGAACAGAAAATCTAAATAAATTAAAATTTCTAATCATATTTAACAGATTTTCTGCATCTTTGTTTCTATGGCATTTATGTTTGTTTATTAACATTGCTTTTGATAGTTGCATGCTTTTTAACCTGTTTTTATGATTTTGAAACTAAACAAATCTATTTCTCTGACTGGAAAATGTACATTTTGATACTTGTGCACAGTGCAGATTGCAGCTCTCAACAAGGATTTTTATCCAATTAAATGAAAGTTAATCATAATTGTCATTTTAATCATTGGTGTCTGATGAGAAATTCCAAAACACGCAGAAACCCAAGAGCCACAGTTTCTTCTTCTACTGCTTTCTCAGTTGGACAGTAGAGGCATAATCCCACTCAGCATCACTTCCAGTCCACTGAACCAGTTATTGCCTCGTTTCCCTGAAAAGGTCTGCTGAGTGTTGAAAAAAATCTTTCAATAAATCTGTGACAAAAACCAGGCCGTTTTGAGTGATAAAAGAAGAGAATCAGGACAAGAAACACAGATGTTTTGTTATTCAAACAAAAAAGAAATGTTCAGCATTCACAAACTGAAATCTTGCCAACACTTTCTGCTCTCCCACAGTGGGATTCCACAAAGAAAAGCTCTGGGATTATGAGTGAGCACATGATGGAGCGTGGGGGTCCACAGTGGGCCAACTTGCGTTACAAATTTCACGCACAGACAAACAAAGTTTCTCCTCCAACTAAACTCACCGGCTCGTCCATCGGCTCCTGCTCCGCGTACTCATCATCATAGTCTCTGTGGCTGAAGTCGCTCGCCAGGTTAGTGTAGAGCAAATATGCCAGAAACAGAGATATTCCCAAAAGGTGCATGTTTATAAGACGTCTGCGCAAGTTTGTGATCCAAGGCGCATGAAGACGGAGATTTTTAAGTCTGAATGTGCGCCGCTGCGGCTGATCAGCCTCTCACATTTGGCCCCGCTGCCTGTCTTTCCTCTTTCTCTCGCTGTCAAGGTCCAATTGTTGCTCCGCGGAGGGCCGGCAGCATGTGTATGGGAGCCGCTGTGGATGGAAGCCCGGTCATATGGAAACAGATAAATCCGCAGGGTCAGCGGAGGCTGTCCCGTCAATTTATCGCAGAAAAACCAACCGCATGTGCCTTCAAAATAAGAGCCCAAAGGTGGCCCCCTTACTTAAACAGCAAGAGGACAAAAAATACTCCCCAACATGTTCGGTTTGATTCGCTCAGAGGTGGGCAGAGTAACCAAAAGTAGTACTCAAGTAAGAGTAGCTCTACTTCAACATATTTTTACTCAAGTAAAGTAAAAATGTAGCCATCCAAGAAGTATTTGTTATATCTACTCAATCACTGATAACTCATCAAATTAGCAGTTATTTAATATTCAGAAAGTGACATAATCAGTCGAACCAAATATAAAGTTAAGTGAAAATGTTGGTATTTTAAGGATAAAGATTACAATAATTCATATAAGTGACAAAAATAACAGAAACATTTTTTTTAAAACTCTCAATAAAAATGTATGAAACTTTAACAAAAACGGCAGGTGTGTGTCTGTTTTAGTGAATTTTTAATTAAAACATGTTTGTTTTTCATTCAGTGGGTAGAAAATACAGACATTTTACTCAAGACTAAAAATACTTCATAATACTTCATAATACTGCTACAGAAGATCATCCCTGCACAGCCATCATTATCACTGTAGTGACCATTTGTCCCCAAACTTAAATTCAAAAAATCAAAAACTCGAAAGTGATCAAAACAAAAGTAAATCCAACTCAAATAGTCACCTGATGCACCGTGAATTCTGGTTTACGCAGCAAAAAGGGAATCAAAGTCAAAATATAGTTCTTTGGATTTATTTGTAGTTCAGGCAAAAGGGTTACAGGCTTCTGCTCCTATTCCTGTACCTGTTCTCTGACTAACAAAAACCCGATGTGACTGATTGGCTGGTAAAAAATCTTATGACCACCCACGTGCATAATAAGCTACCTAAGACCCACCTATTTATACTGTGAAATACCCACATCCCAACCTGAAATTAATTAACTAATTATGTGAATTCCTAATCAAAGAAATTATAAACAAAACAAAAATTCTAATGATAAATCAACTGGAAAAAACAAACAAATAATAAGAATAAACTAAACAATTTAAATTCTAAGATTTAACCAAAAAATGGGAAAATAGCTCCTACAACAGTGAACATTGAGGTTAAAAGTAAAACTGCTAATTAAAGTCCGAATATATGAAATATAGACACTACA